GCCGTCAACGGCCCCAAGAGTGTGGTGGTGTCGGGCAAGCGGAGCGAGGTCGAGGCCGTGATGAAGGCCCTCAACGTGGGGGGCCGCTACAAGCTCCTCACTGTTTCGCACGCCTTCCACTCCCCTCTCATGGGTGAGACTGTGGCTCCCTTCCAGCAGGTGCTGTCGACAGTCAACCTCAAGACGGCCAAGATCCCCCTCGTGTCCAACGTCAGCGGCAATATGGCTGGCGACGAGGTCGTGAGGGGCGAGTACTGGGCCAACCACATCACGCTGCCGGTTCGCTTCATGGACGGCATGCGAGCGATGGTCGAGGCGGGAGCACGGGTGATAGTGGAGGTCGGCCCCCGGCCGACGCTCATCGGCATGGGCAAGCAGTGCGTGCAGGAGGTTGCCGAGAAGATGGATCTGCATTGGCTGGGTCCCATGGATCCCGACAAGGACGACCAGGACGGTGTCAGCCTGACGATCGAGACCTGCCTCGCCAAGGTCAAGGGCACTCACCAGTGGAACCACCAGAGCTTCCCGTGGGTCGAGACCGCCCATCCGGCACTCGGCCAGCGGCTCACGAGACCCAGGGGCCTCACCTTCGAGGGCACTCTGCGACAAGACCTCAAGACGCTCATCGAGGACCACGTCGTGCTTGGTGAGACCAGACACATGCGGCTTGCTGGTTGAAGCATTTGCTTTGTGTATATCTTGATGCGTTTGCAGGCGTGCCTCTGATGCCTGGCGCAGGGTTCATTGATATCCTGGCGAGCGCCGGTCTGGCAGCAGCGCAGGTGGAGAGGGGGGCCAAGATATCGGCTGCAGAGCTTGTGCATCTGGAGGATGTGTCGTTCGAGCGGCCGCTCATGCTGCCCAAGCCCGATGACAAGCAGCCCGACCCCAAGATGCCCACCATCCGCATCACCGTCGAGAAGCAGCCAACGACTGACAGCAGCGCCGCCATGCCCCCCATGGCCGTCGAGATCACTACACAAGCCCCCGGCGAGGAGGACTTCGTGTCGCACGCCACCGGCCGTCTGGTCAAGGTCGCCCACGTGGACGACAGCGAGAGTGACCTGGTGGAGGACCTCACCACCCTCAAGCACCGGTGCAACAAGACCGCCCCGCTGTCAGAGTTCTACACGCAGCTCAAGGAGATCGGTTTGGCGTACGGCCCGCGGTTCCAGACGGTGACAGAGCTGTTCGTGTCGGATGACCAGGCGCTGGCCCTGCTCAAGTTGGACCCGCCCATCAAGCCATTCGAGGGCGGCTTCCGCCTGCACCCCGCCATCCTCGACGGCGCCCTGCAGTCAGCCGCCGCCATACTCGCGGCCGACCAGTCCGGCAAGAGGAAGACCAAGGCAGCTCTGGTGCCCGTGGGGGCGGAGAGGGTCTCACTGGCTCGCATCGCCCCGTCGAGCGAGCTGTGGAGTCACGTCCGCCTGCTCAAGCGCGAGGACCGTGCTGCGACCATCGATGTGGTCATTCAGGACAGCAGGGGCCGCATCGCCGCCTACCTCAAGAACGTTAGTCTGCGGCAGATGGACACCACGCCGCCTGCAGACATACCCCGGGACATCCTCTGGGAGGTCACGTGGAAACAGGCCGAGCCAAGCAAGGAGCTTGCTGCTGAGGAGGAGGCTGCTGCCGCTGAACCAAGGTGGCTTTTGTTTGGCGTGCCGGCTGCCTGGAAGAAGGTGCTGTACAGCAGACTGGTGGAGTGCGGGAAGAGCAGAGAGTCGCGGCTCATCGCGTACGGCGAGACACCTGACGCCATGGACATGGAGAAGATCCTTGCCGACAAGAACAAGTGGGACTGCGTCCTCCACATGGGCAGCCTCGAGAAGCGGTCCGACCCGGTTGTGGTGGTCAGCGAGGCCCTCAGGATGGCCCAGGTCATCCTCAAGCTGGGCACTAACGTCGAACTCCCTGCCATCTGGCTCGTCACTCGCGGCACGCAGCTCGCGCTCCCCGACGAAACGCTGCCAGAGATACCGCGCCACGCCGGCCTGTGGGGCTTCGCCAAGACGGCCCGACTGGAGCTGGAGAACAACATCGGCACTCTCATCAAGATGGGCTGCGTCGACATCGACCCCACCTCGCCCGACACCGTCGACGGCTTCATAGAACAGATGGCCATCCTGCTCAACGCGCAAGGGGACACCGTGGGCTATGAGGCAGAGGTGGCCCTTCGCAATACACGCCCGACCGAAAAGACCCCAAGCCAGCCAGCATGCTTCTACTCGAGGATGCAGAAGGCCAAGGTTGACCTGAGGGGAGCCGTGGAGCTCTACATGCCACAGCGAGGAGCCATCACCGACCTCGAGCTAAGACCGCTGGCCCAGGCCGCCCGCATCCCGCCCCCTGTGGGCTGCATCGAGGTCCGTGTTCGTGCGATCGGTTTGAATTTCCGCGACGTGTTGAACGTGATGGGTCTGTATCCTGGCGACCCCGGCCCGCCGGGCGGCGACTGCTCGGGTACGGTAGTGGCTGTGGGGGAGGGCGTGAGTCACTTGTGTGTTGGGGATGACGTCTACGGCGTGGCGCCGGGCTGCCTGCGGACGTACGTGACGACTGACGCCAACCTGATGGCCATCAAGCCCGCATCGATGACCTTCGAAGAGGCGGCCGCCCTGCCGGTCGTCTTTGTGACGGTCGAGGTCGCATTCCGAGAGCTCGCCAAGGTCACCAAGGGAGACAACGTTCTCGTCCACGCGGCATCGGGCGGCGTCGGGCTTGCGGCCATCCAGTACTGCAAGGCCGTCGGGGCCAATGTCTATGGCTCGGCGGGCAGCCAGCACAAACAGGACTTCCTACGACAGCAGGGCGTGCACTTGGTCACGAGCTCGCGCGACGCCAGCCAGTTCCAGGCCGACATGCACAAGGCCAACAGCAAGATCGACGTCGTCCTCAACTGCCTCATCGAGGACTTCATTCCCTTCTCGCTCGACGCCATGGCGCTCAAGGGCCGCTTCATGGAGCTCGGCAAGCGCGGCATCTGGAGCAAAGAGGAGGTCCTTGCCAGGCGGCCCGACTTGGCCATGTACGAGGCCATCACCGTCGATCACATGATGGAGCAAGATCCCAACTGGTTCGGCGCCATGCTCGATCGTGTCCGAGGCCTGGTCGACAGCGGCAAGATCAAACCCATCCCCCTCCACACATTCGACATGAGCACCGCAGACAACGTTACCGGCGGCATCGCGGCCTTCAGGTTTATGCAGAGAGCGCAGCACATCGGCAAGGTCATCATACAAATACCCTCAGCCATCGCACCGCCCCACACAGACGACACACAGCGCGACGAGGCGACACCGGCCGGCCGCCAGACTGACGGATGCTATGTCATCACCGGAGGACTCGGCGGACTCGGACTGCTTGTCGCAGACTGGCTGGTGGAGGAGGGAGCAAAAAATGTCGCTCTGCTATCCAGGCGCGGAAAGCCGACTGATGCCGTTGCTGCTTCCGATCTGTGGACGAAGCTGACGGCGCCCGAGCCTCATGGCCGCTCCAAGGCGACCATATACTGCATGGCCGTGAATGTGTCCAAGAAGGACGAGTGCGAGAATCTGTTCGCTGACCTCAAGAAGAAGCTGCCCAAGAACCCAGTCCGTGGAGTCTTCCACGCAGCTGAGAGGCTTGACGACGCTGCCCTCAACAACCAGACCAAAGACAAGGTGGAGAAGGTCTACTTGCCAAAGGTGAGAGGGAACCCGAACATGAATCGTTCCCCAACGAGGTTGTTGACTCATCCCTTTCCTCTATCGTGTGTGCAGGTGATGGGTGCATGGAACATCCATGAGCTGTCCCTCGGCAAGAGGATCCCTCTCGACCACTTCATGATGTTCTCGTCCGTCGCCTCCCTGCTCGGCAACTTCGGCCAGACCAACTACTCTGCGGCCAACTCGTGTCTGGACGCCCTCGCCCTCTACCGCAAGTCGCAGGGGCTGCCGTGTCAGAGCATCCAGTGGGGACCGTGGATCGAGCAGGGAATGGCAGCCGAGCTCAAGCAGCATCTCGACAAGGTCGGCATCCGCGGCATCACCAACGAACTCGGTCTTCGTGTCATGGGGGACGTCATGCGGCAGCAGTCTCTGGCGCCTGGTATGCGCGGGCCGTCAGTGGTCGGCTGCCAGGGCCTCAAGTGGGCCATCTTCCTGCGGCGGTATGGCGACATGCCCGCCTTCTTCTCAGAGATCCCCATGGCAGCGTCGGCCGAGAGTGGCGGTGGCAAGGTCGACCTCAAGGCCATCAGCAAGCTGGACCTGTCGGGTCTGCTGAGCTCGCTGGCGCAGCAGGTGTCGGGGTCTGCTGAGAAGCCCCCGATCGACGCACCACTCATGGACCTTGGTCTCGACTCACTGGGGGCCGTGGAGTTCCGCAACTCGATTGCGGAGGTGACGGGCGTCAGGGTGCCGCAGACACTGGTGTTCGAGAACCCGACAATCGAAGTGATTGCCGACTTCATCCTCGACACTGCCCACGGGCGGCCGACCAAGATCGGCAAGAAGGGGGATGTCGACAAGGTGGAAGAGGTGTCAGGTGTGGACAGGGAGCGACTGGCGGCGGCGGGCGACGCGGCCAAGGACGAGCAGGGCAGCGGCAAGGCGCCCTCATCCACGGAGGTCGACTACCACGACATGACGGTCGAGGAGTGGCTCAAGAGCGCCTTCAGCGGCTCCAGGCGCTACCTTCAGTACCTCGACGTCTTCGAGGCCAAGTACCCATCCGTCGAGGCCATGGCGCGGGAGAGCGACCTCCGACTCGCACTCGACGTCTGCTAGGTGCGGG